TTTTTTTCTTCCTCGTCATTCTTGTAAGACGTTCTGCCAAAGGGCTTATAACTAGTGTGTATTGGAAGCCGACCTACACAGTTTGACTCTGTGCATCCTATAGGGCGAAAACGCTTCGTTGCCGCTGCTCTTTTCTCTCACGCGATGCACATCTCCACTGAGCCTGGTCTGCGAAAGCAAGAGGTAACGGTTGTAAGGAAGGACCTCTGCAGCAACGGCTACCCCTTGCTGCTCCTGAGGACTCTACAATTGCTGTTTTCAGTTGCCTGCCCTGAAGAGGTTTGTAAAACGGGCCAAAATGTGCTGCTGTACCTGACGCACAAGGCATCAGTACGGCACTAGCAAGAGTGTTCGGCACATATGGCATAAAAATCGCACATGTACCAATGAACAAGCTGAAGCAGAAAACTCCTACCCGTGATAGACTGTCTGGAAAGCTCAAGATTTCCAAGAGTTATCTACAAGATACCATGCGAATATAGTGACGCGTCCTACATAGGTGAAACTAAAACTTTTAAAAGAAGAATCCAGCAGCACCAGAATGATGTCAAGAAAGGCAATGCCTCGAATGCCTTGGCAGATCATCATTTAAACAGTAATCACATCATCGAATAAGATTCTGCGAGCATAATTGTGACAGAGAAGCCCCTATCGACATGGCTACTTTAAGAATCACAGCACATTCGAACGACCAAAAACGCGATTAACAGGACACGGGGTAATCTCCGCGAGATATACATGTGCACTCTGCGCCACCCATTCAATAAATATTTATGCCCTCGTGCATGCTCTTTATAGTGAATAAGGGACCTGTAGCGGCCCCGAAACGTCAAAATATGTTTGTTTGTTGGTTTAATTCTGATAACGCGAGTGTAGTGTTTCTAAGACTCGATGGCTCAAGTTCTGGGATACTGAAGGGTGAAACAAGGTTGGTTGATTAAAAACAAATTGAACTGATTTATTGGCAGAGAAAAAAAAGGAAACGTTCACACAACTCAAGAGTTTTGCTGGCGACTGACTCGCCTCGCGGTCCGCTGAGCTCTCCTCCCTGCACCACACATATACACACACAGACACGCCTACAGACAGTGGCGCATGTGTCGCCTGTTTTGTGGCGCACTTCAAAAGGGAGCAGTAGCCATCGAGTGAAGCGCGCTTTCGGTGGTACAAGGCCACGGACCCGGAGGTTGTATGCTCAATGTGAGGATCTTCCCCGAACTCGAAACACCCCAAGAAAGCTGTCCGCGACACAGTTTCAGCCACAATGACGAAGTCATTTTCTTCTTTAGGCTGTTAGTTCCAGCTGGTAAACCAGCTGTATAGGCTTACAAAGAGATGATCCGCCGGGCATATGCACTTGAAAGAACCCTCGCTCTGCCATTTCTGCTAGTGAGTCCCCTTTCTATTGTGCTCATTTTCCACCGCTGTCTTGGCTGGGTGGTCTTTTTTAGTAGCACCCTGTAGCTCATGTTTACTTGTTTGAGGCGTTGGTTCCGCTTCCTCCCGGTCGCCAGTAGTTTTTGCAAGTACTCTCTCGCCAATTGGTGCCAAAAGCCCGCCTAGAGCTTGTATCTTCTTGAAATCACTTCATTCAAATTAATACAGGATAAAGCGCTGGTTTCTCGTGGCAGCAATGCAGGCAGGACAGGCAATTGCCCTCCTGCGAGAAATGATGCTGGAAAGAGCGGTTCGGGCTCGGTTTGCTCTGTGCAAACACGAGTGAGGGGGCAATGATTGATAACAGCCTCAACGCTTTCAAACAAAGTGTCCATTTCCACAAAACTAATGAAGCTCGTTCCAAATGTCTTTTTCATTGCCTTCTTCGTAAGCCCTATGAGGCACATGTAAAAGTTGTCACACCATGGTGCACTCTCAGCAACGAACCTCCATTTAACTGGAGAATTCGTGATAATGTTGCTAACTTCCTCGCTTCGGAATACCGACCAAAGAGAGTCGAAATCCTTGTATAACATGCTGGGGTGCTGCTCGGTTCCATAGCTCATGTTGCTTTGCTCCAGTATTCCACTGATTCTCGGTACGCCAACTTCGTCAGTCATGAGTGACATGTTTTTCAAGGGTGAATCTCTGGGAAGCTGCTATTGTTTTAGAATAATCTCAAACTGCCTATGTGGCCCTTCCTTCTGTTCGTGATGGACCCAAAGTAACTCAGCTCAATTCAGTTCTGCTGTAGAGAGGTCTCTGCGCTCATAGACTTTCCACCTCGCCGTTGCAACAGCGCGTTCATAAAATTCCAGTGTGGGACCTCCAGTTGTTTCATTCCCTTCACTGACACAAATTGAGTCCATCATCCCAGACTTGCTGAGCAGGTCATTTTTGTTCTCGATAATCGAGGTGCGCAGTATCACAGTCTGGGTGCAGTTACTGTCGTCGTTGCTTCCCTCGACGGGACCCTGAACGGTCCACTCTGCAGCCTTGTTCCACTGCTCTGAGCTGCTTCAACAACTTGATCGTTCGGCCTGTGGTCAGATCCCATAGGTGGTCGGCTCCGATCAGCATGCCAATGTCTTTGGGACCGCCACCATTGCTGGGATCAGCACATTTATAGCCCAAAGCTTCCAATTTCTCCTATGTTTGTTTTGGTGGTTTGAGAATCGTTTGGTCGCTAATCACATCCGCTTCTAGCACCTCAAGTTAGCGCTTGTCGCCCCTTTTAGTGTCAAGAAACACCCTCACTTTTCGAAATGGCCGTCCTTTTTGGTGTCCTCCAAAGAAGCCAACACTCAATCTCTCTTGTCCTACGAGCTCACATCCAAGCTTCTATGTGGTCACTGTAGTGATATAGGAGCGGTGGCTCCCCCATCAAACATTTTTTGCACGTGAGCATTTGAAGCCTCTCCAACACATCTAACCATTGCTTTTTGTAGCAATATAATTTCTTTAGGAGTGGTCCCTGGTCCCACCTTTTGTGACAGCTTCGAGACAGATTTGAGTGCTAGTGATGGCATCGTTAACATCTGGTGGTCTGTTTGGGTACGAAGGGTCACACATGGTTGTTGCATGCCTCCGCTGACATTAAGCGGATCACACATTCAGACGGCATACACTTGATAAGTGACCTCGTCTCGTGCATCTGAAACATCGTCCGGACGATCACAGAAGCTGCCTTTTCTTCTCAAGTGATTTTCCGGCATCGCAGTTTGGCGTTGCATGCTCGCTCGTTCCACAAAAGAAGCAGTCCCATGGTGTCTCGTTTTGATGCAACATTGCCAATAATTGAATAGCTATGCCATGCATTCTTTGCCTTGGACTAGGAATCTTGTTCGAGGGCTGCTTTAAGTCGAAACTCTGAAGTGCAGCAAGGCGTTCGTGGCTCTCAACTTCGACTTTAAGGAAAAACAGGAGTTTGTTGAAGGTTTTTATTGTACCTCTGTCTCCTTCTGGTATTTTTGGCTCCGGTTTATTGGAGGATGAGCTCCGCTGATCGTCGAAGGTAGAGTTGTTGACCGTGGGACACTTCCTTCCAGATGAAAATGTAACGAGACGTGGCCCTCTAAACCACCAGCAGCAGCCTTGCACTGTAGGCGTGGAGCTTCCTTCTGAGTATGGCTGGCACGGCGTCCCAGAGGCAGCGAACGCTCCGTACGTCATCTGAAGAGCGCACTGGTTTGATGTCTAGCTGACTCTTCATATGCTCTTGCATCAGTAGCTTGTTCCCAAAACATCCTTTAAGCAGTGCTACAGCGTCGCGCTAGCATCGAGACGTCGATGGTAGACCCAGAAGAGCGGAAGCTGCATCACCCGTGACGGATGACCTCAGGTAGTGATTTTGTCAGTAAGTGACAACTCTTTGTTCTTGTCGACCACCTGTTCAAACATTTCCCAAAATGACTGTCAGTTTGAGCGCCGCCCGCCGAACTTCATGAGCTCAAATTTTCAGAGCTTCACTCTTGTTTTGAGCTCCGGCGTTATTGGTGAAGCGCTGCCATTACCTGCTGCTTCGGCATTCATTGTGTGACTTGGAACAGTCATTTACTGCTGCAAATGAGTGAGGCAGGCTTTGATGCGATCTTGTAAGTCGCACATCTATTGGAACTCATTCTCTGTGTTTTCATCAGATACCAGTGGCTCGATGTCGTTGTTTACACTGTTGAGTTTGTTATATCAACTGGTAGGCCTGGTGAGCGGGATTGCCGCTTCGTTTTCATCGAGAGGCCCTGGTCGACTCTCGAAGTCTTCAATGAGTCGCTTGATTTACGTGCGCATAACTTTTCTTTACGAGATGTTCGATTGTTAAGACCAATCCGCTAAATAGTTCACTCACCGGACTAGGTTCACGTCCGTCATTGCCAAAGCGTTCAAGTCATGGAGTTGTTCACGTTCCATTCACAAGACAAAGTCCACGGCGAGAAAGTCCCGGGTTTCGAAATCAAGAGTGTAGTGTCCCTACAACTCGATGGCTCAAGTCCTGAGACACTGATGGATGAAACAAGGCCAATTGATTAAAAACAAAACGAACTGATTTATTGGCAGGAGAAAGGAAATGTCCACGCAGCTCAAGAGCTTCGCTAGCGATTGACTCGCCTCCGGGGTCCGCTGAGCTATTCTTCCCGCACTACACATATACACACACACAAAAATGCCCACAGACAGTGATGCACGTGTCGCCTGTTTTGTAGCCCACTTCAGAGGGGAGCAGTAGCCGTTGAGCGAAGCGTGCCTTTGGTTGTCCAAGGCCACGAACCCAGGGCCTGTATGTTCAATGTGAAAGTCTTTCACGAACTTGAAACCCCCAAGAAAGCTGTCCACGACAGCAAGCACCTGTTTTAGTTCTTCCAATGACCCCCCCCCCTCGCCTGACGAGTTTTCAACAAACTTTAGACTATGACGTATTTTTATGCTTTTGGAGCAGGATGCTAGAAATGTAGCACTTGTGGGCACAACTGGCACAGCCTTATGTTGTACCCAGCTGTACCCCAACCCTGGAATATCTCATCACACCAAATTGTGATTGCAATGAGTGGCATAAGTTTGATACTTACACATGTTAAGCTGCCTGATAAAACTTGCCATGTTGCTGTGCTTGAAGTACATTGGCAAAAGGTCCTTGGCAAACTGTATCTGGTTGTGTATAATAAAGCTCCGGCCAGTCTGCACAGACACAAAAACATTCTTCATGGATTTAGGCGTAGAATACAGATGAGTATTTCACAGGGAAATTTCCATGATTCTCAATCTGAAACTTGTATAATGTTCCATGAGGCACGTGATTCAGGGATGCAAAACGGCAACAGTGGCTTTCCTACTTACAGTAGAAGAAAGCTTTACCTAGGGTGCCCCCAAGTGCTGGGGCATGCAATTTTCTGGGCAAACTAAACAATGCAATGGGATGGAGGACTCCATACTTGGGGCCTCCTACACCTCGCAAGGACAATACTTGGGGTGTTAAATGTTGTGACGCAGCACAGTACACCAAGTTCACTGTACTGGAAATCTGTGTAGCTCTTCTGACCCCTCAGTTTTTAATTAGCATTTAATTTAAACACATGAGCTTTATTAAGATCTGCCATCACAGGAATGCAGACCTTGCAGAGACTGAATCCGCCCTCTTAGAATCAGCACTTTGATGAGGAACACTAAGTCACAATTGATGACCTTGTTATGTACGCCCTACAGCATGTACGCCCTATCTAATGGCAGTGTCCATTAGATAGAAGTATTTTAATTGTTACTATTACATGCTGCAGATATATTATGAAAGATGTTCACAGCCTTTCGAGCAGAAAAAAAAAGCAACTTTTCAGTATCATCATACAGTGAATTATTGCGATTGTTGTAGTTGTTACTTCTATCATCCCTTGTCTGTTCCAGCACTTCCAAGTTGCTGAATAAACATGAAGTACCAACTAGCTCATCTATCAATCCTTTGGAACGAAACGCCAAAACGTGCCTAGCTGGTGGGGTCCATGCATCCATGACGAAGTAATTCAGATGGTAAATGTAGAGAAAGTTCTCAGCGCTACTTTGCTATATTAGGCAATGTCTATTGTATATGTGGACAACAAAACAACCTTTGAAGATGTTTAATGGCAATTTCAGGCAGTCGCGAGTGCGGGCTGATCCTGCAGATAGTGCAATACTCAACTGCATTTTAGTAGTGCGAAATAAAGCAGATACACTCTACCTAGGGAAAGTAGGCATGCTTCCTGGGTCTACTTTCACTCTGGATCAAATGAGTGTAATTTATGCCGCAGGTTCTTAACAAGTGGAAAAGACAATGGCTGTATCTACAAAGGAAAGGCCAATCATGTGCAAATTGGGAAGATTGGCTAATGTTCGTGTGGTGATGAATTTGGTCTAATGATAACATGCAATAAAAATTTTGCAAAGAGTCAACACTACTGTTATGTCTATTTGATCTTCTGTTAGCATTAGATTTTATGCCATTATGAACATGCTCCCTTAGAAGTTGCAGAAACAGGCATCCTTCCTATCCTCAAAACCACTAATACCACTTATCACCCTTGCACTCTCTCTGTGCCAGAGGAGAACTTAGGAGATGTTTGTTTGGGTGGTGTTACAATGAGCTTGGAAAATCTAGAAATCTGTGTTTTCTGGGCACAGTGCCACCTTTCTCTTGTTACATGTATGGCAGTCGGCATAGCATTATAAGATTACACAGTTCACAGGAGGGCGAGTGCTCATCTTGTTTTGTCTTAACTTCCTACCTGGCAAATTGCCATATTATATTATTGACAGAGTTTCTGTCTTACAAGGACACTAAACAGGAACAGGAACTCAGTCTAGATTGACAAACTGCACTCTGAGAGCTCTAATAGCATATATTTCTCTAGCATAGGTTCATTATTAGTGGAGAAAATCATAATTGAAGTTTTATTCATAAAACATGCACCAAAATGTCCATGCATGATTTCAGAAACTCGTAATGTATTTTTGGTATTTTCGTGGCGTTGGCTCGATGAAATTTTCTGAAACTTCATATGCTAAGTCGCTGGCACCCACAAATCACAATGTACTTTATTGTTATCGATTAAAGGTACGTAGGACCCAGTAGACGGCTTCAAAATTTCTTACATCACAGTGGGTGCGTGAACCTCGAGGTGGCGGTTCCACCCGTATTTTCTTTTCGCGCATTTTCTCGCTTACTAAACGTCGTGTCGTAGTAAGAGTCATGTTTTCAGGAGTTCAAATTATGCTTCACTAATATGCGGAAAATTGTTCTGCTCTTTAGTGTCCCTTTAAGACTTCTGTAAGTTGCAGTATCAGCTTATTTTAATAAAATGGGAAAAAAATGTTGGTTATCATTAGGCCCCTTATTTTTCTTTGTTTTCTATGATTTCAGTGATAGAGTATTAATTAGTGTGTTTACATGTATGCTACTTCTGAATAAAAACCACTGCTGTACTGGATAGTTTTGGCCTTCAATTCTGTCAACAGCTTTCTTTAGAAGTGCACAAGCAGTTTATGATAGTACCCTAAGGTAACTTCATTTGCGTGGTTCAACAAACAAACATAGTTGAAAAATTATCTACAGCTGAGCCCAATCTAGATACATCTATTTCTGCTCTGATGAGGATTTATAGACTGTTACCAGGCCTGTTCAAGTCTGCTGAAATTCCAAGTTGAGGCGTAACAATGAGGAATAATATGAGCATGTTATCCCTGCAGTCTACTAGTGAAAAAGCTGATGAAAGCTTTATGGGATGAGCAGATCTCCTGCATGAACTAAGAAAAGCTACACTGCTACTGACGTAGTCTGGCCAATATCGGCAATTCTCGGCAGTCACATCACACTCTTCCATTTATCATTACAAACTCAAACAAGGTGGCCTGCTAGTTTTTTTGCAGCAAGTGTAAAACACAATAGCTTAGCATATTAAGCCTCTATTCCAGGTGAAAAAGCTGTGGACGCGTTGCAAAAAAAAAAAAAGTGACCCATCTGCAAGTCAGTTAGAAGTTTTACATGAGCTGTAGTTTAGAGACTCCTCGTCTAAACAATTGTTATAGGCATTGTCATTGTTCCACCAAATTCATTTTATTGTAGGTTAAATTCTTCTCTAAGCAACTAGATATATGAGTGAAAGGCTCCAGTATGAAAATGGCTTGCAGAATGTTTACAGAATTGGTTCTCTCCAGCAACATATGAATGAGCATCTTATGTGGGGGAAAAAACAACAAAAGGCCGATTCAATAGTAAATGTTCTACTACACAAACAGAAATTTGCCCCATGCTTTGCTAGAGAGAATTGAGAAAAGGCCAACAAATTAGCTTATCATGTATAGAGGTCCTTTAAGTGAACATGCAGCTTGCACATCTTGGTTTTTGAACACCGAATTCTGCCATATGCATGCAAAAAATTCATTTTCTCTTGTCTGTAATGGAATTATAGGCTAAAGGCCTTCAGTTGCAGTTGAATCTCTGTAGTGCTATACTATGGGGTTGTCGCAAAATTTGCCGAAGCAAACCGAGACAAATCATTTGTATGACTTGAGCATGCAAGGAAAATAAGTCATGAGCTCTTGCCTTATAGGGAAAATAATGACAAGCAAAGCTTGACATTTGTGTGCCTGATTACTCATTTTCTTTGCATCTTACAGTGCAATATTCCCTCGTAAGTTTTTTTTTTTCCTTCTCCCATGCTTCAAAACACTTCTGTTGCTACAGCCAACATCTATCATGCATTTATATTCAGGAAACAATAAAATGTGGCAATGTGTGAAATGAAGCTACTTCAATAAGATGCCACACTGCCACATCGGAAATGGCCAATTTCTGAGAAGCGCACGAGTGAGAGAACATCATTTATTGGAAAATGGCACATACATATATGCATGTGACCGGCACACTTTCAAAGATATTCGCCGGGTTTTTTTGGTTTTTTTTTCGGGTACTATGTAGCCGCCACCGAGGACTAAAACTCGTGACAAGTTCCATTTGAACCTAAGCACTACAGCATATTTACGAAGCACACTGTAGTAGATGAGTTCAAATTAATTTTGAACCTCTGAGGTTCTCTAAACAAGCTCTGGAATCTCTTAATCGCATGCGGGGGCCCCGAGAGACGGCTGGCATCCCAAGCCGACACGTAAGCGTCGCAGCTTCATGACGAAACAAGTGTGCCAAAGTAACAGTTAACGTTCAAATAAATTTTTCCTTACCTTCCTTGGCTTCACTATCTCCTGGTGTTCATTAAAGTTGCGTCAAACGACGAATCCAGCCCTCATAATTCCCTTATTTCATTCAAATAGAAAAGTGTCAAGAGCACCATGTCCACTAAATTAAATCGCGCTTGGGTAATAGGCGCAAATTATCTGTGCAATACGACTAATGGATTTGTGTGAGAAAAGTTAATCGTTAAAGAAAATGAAGCGGCATGCACAACAAATGATCGAAACAGAGGAAAGAGTGCGCCCGTGCCCGAGTGGCAAGTCCAGAAATGCCGCGTAGCAAGCAAGCCAGAGACTCCGCAGCGAACCTAACGAATCAGATTGCATGACAAGCTCACGAGGTAAGAGGCGAGGTCAAACAGCGCCGCCTTGATTTCTTTCTAAAAAATAGATGAGGCGCTGGGTCAACATACTTGCCTTGGAACACTGGAATGGCGCACTTCAAGCCGCACTGACGACGTTTACCGACTACACTTGCTTTGAATGAGCCCGAATCATAGCAAGCACGGCCATTCAGCACCTCTCTCTAGTGGAATGGCGCACTTCAAGCCGCACTGACGACGTTTGCCGATTACACTTGCTTTGAATGAGCCCGAATCATAGCAAGCACGGCCGTTCAGGTTGAATGATCAAGAGTGGGATATATCCAAGTACATGTTATCGGCATATACGTCGCCGGAGCGTGCCGGAGTGTACCGTTCCAGCGCTCTAGACAAGTGTGTCGACTTGCAGTGCATGCGCGTTATTCGGTTGCCGGCGGTCTTCAGCTGACGAAGTAGTGCAAACTCTGTTCTGCAAACACCAGCAGATCCGTTCTACGAGCGTCTGATGCAATGACAGTGACAGTTAAACAAGGTACACCATTCCAAACCGGAGCAAGCTTCGTTAGCCTAGCCCTAACCGATAAACGGCGAGGAGTGAGACATACCGAACTCCAGCTGATCACATCGTTGCATTTTTCGTCTTCAACAAGCTTCCATAGTTTAATTAAAAAAGCGGGAACGTTACTGATGCCAATTTCTGTGGTACGCATTGTTGAATGGCGACTTATAGACTGCTCAGTGAAATGCGACAATCATTGGTTTCGCCAAACACAGTTGCTAGCACATTTGCCCTTTTGGTGGGTCGCTAGCCGAGTTTTATGTGTCTCTGGGCTGGTCTCAGCCACGACGTTAAGTCTGGAGCACTAGTACAACTTACAAGTTGCACCAGAGAACGTCTACACAGAACACCTACATAAACGTCTATTTATGCAAGGCCGCTCAACATTTTCGCCTGCGACGATGTTCGAGGGATAAATTTATGTTAAAGTCCAGAAAACATGGAAGGTACGAAAGGTACTTCACGTTTGGTGTAAAAATAAGATTCAGCGCGTGTGATTCAGCGTCTTTCATAAATTCGAACATTTTAAACAAACAACAAAAACGGTTGCAAAGAATATTTACAACATGCTAAAACTACTGCAAAGGCATTGTTGGTTGTTTGGCCGATGGGTGCTGCCGAGTTTGTTATATTTTCCTAGATAGTTTCATACTATTGAGGTGGGGAATTCGCAAGGCACTGACTAGTGGAAATATTGTTACGGGGAATGAAGTATACACTGGCGAGCAAATGCGTACTGGCGAATATACTGGCGAGCTAATGCGTACAACGCTGCTGCAGTCCGAACACGGTCACGTTCAGCACTTCGTCGTCGTCATCCTCAGGCATCTACTCAGCCCGTGACATTACCCGCCGGCGGCAGAAGCACCGTCCCAGTGCGATCAATTCTCGAGGCGTGAGTAGTATGGTTTAAGCCGTGAGACGTGCACTATATCGGTCGGGACTGAAGCTGGTACTGACGTGGTATGGAGTGGAGCTATCTCATAGGTCACGCTGGTGACCTTGCGTATGACGCGGTAGGGGCCAACGTAACGGGACATCAGTTTTTCGCAGAGACCAACACGACGTGATGGTAACCACAGCAAGACGAGTGACCCCGGAGAGTACTGTACGTCGCGGTGCCGGCGATCGTAAGCACTCTTTTGGTTAAGCTGCGAGGCACATAAACGATATCGGGCGACTTGGCGGGCGATGTCAGCTCGGGCCAGGGCACCACGAGCATAAGCAGTCGATGAGGAGGCGTCAGATTGGAGCCTGGTGTCCATGGGCAAAGGCGGGTCATAACCAAACAGTAGGTAAAAAGGTGAAAATCCAGCTGTATCATGACGTGAACTGTTGTATGCGAAGGTAATGAAAGGTAAGTGGATGTCCCAATCTTTGTGATCCTTGGAGACGTACATCGCTAACATATTCGTCATGGTACGGTTGAGGCGTTCCGTGAGGCCGTTGGTTTGCGGATGGTACGCTGTAGTGAACTTGTGGTGGGTAGAGCAGGATCGCAGGAGCTCGTCGACTACTTTAGATAGAAAACAGCTGCCGCGGTCGGTGATCAACTGACGAGGAGCACCATGACGCAGAATGATGTCATGAAGAAGGAAATTGGCTACATCAGTAGCGCAGCTGGTGGGGATGGCGCGTGTAACGGCATACCGCGTTGCGTAGTCGGTAGCAATAGCAATCCACTTATTACCGGTGGCTGACACGGGAAAAGGTCCTAGAAGATCGAGGCCGACTCGGAAAAATGGCTCATCTGGTACTTCAATGGGCTGGAGGGTACCGGCAGGTCTCAGAGTAGGTGTCTTGCGGCGCTGGCAGAGGTTGCATGCCGCAACGTACTGTTGCACAGAACGGTAGAGGCCAGGCCAAAAGAATGGGCGGTGAATGCGGTCATACGTGCGTGACACCCCTAGGTGTCCAGCTAAAAGCTCAGCACCATCAGGGCGGGCGTTGTAGCGGTGCAAGATGTCGTTGTGAAGAACGAACAGTTGTAAGTAGTGGTCAGGGTGGGGAGAGTGCAGACCATTGATATTAGCACGCAAAGAGGGGTCGCGGCGTTGTTCAGCAGCTATGTCGGTGAAGTCGGTAATTGAAAGAATGAGGGCCTCTTGTTCATCTTCCTTCGTGTCAGGGGGATCGACTGGGTAACGGGACAAGCAGTCGGCATCCTTGTGAAGTTGTCCGGATTTATAGGATACGGAAAAAGTGTACTCTTGTAAGCGCAGCGCCCAGCGACCAAGGCGTCCCGTAGGGTCCTTGAGTGAGGAGAGCCAGCAAAGCGCATGGTGGTCCGTAATAACTGAGAATGGTCGGCCATACAGGTACGGTCGGAATTTCGCAATGGCCCAGACGAGAGCTAAGCACTCGCGTTCTGTGATGGAATAATTTTGTTCCGAGCGCGACAAAAGTCGGCTTGCATACGCGACGACGCGGTGCATGCCTTGTTGCCGCTGCGCCAGCACTGCGCCTATGCCGTGGCCACTGGCGTCAGTACGAAGCTCCGTGGCGGCAGATGGGTCGAAGTGTGCTAGGACTGGTGGATTGGTGAGAATGTCAACGAGCGACGAGAAGGCGCTTGCTGTTGGCCCCAGGTGAATGCGACATCCGTTTTGAGGAGGCAGGTTAGAGGACGGGCTACTTCAGCAAACTTCTCGACAAAACGACGGAAATAGGAGCACAGTCCCAGAAAACTTCGGACGTCCTTGGCTGAGCGGGGTGTGGGGAAGTCGCGAACTGCTCGGACTTTCGCAGGGTCTGGTTCAACGCCCGCAGCGTTAACAAGATGGCCGAGTACGCAGATTTGGCGTTGCCCAAAGCGGCATTTGGACGAGTTAAGTTGCAAGTTGGCACGTCGAAAAACATCAAGCACTGTGGACAGACGGGTAAGATGGTCGTCGAAAGTAGTCGAAAAAGAGAGAGAGAATAAACATTTATTAATAACAAATGGAAACTGATCCTTCTTTGGGTGGGGCCCTCAGTCCAGGGCTCCATTGCCTTGCGCGACCCTGCGAGCCCGCTGGACCAGCTGCTGCTGTTCCTGCCGGCGTAAGCTGAGCAGTGCAGACTCCCAAGAGGAAGGGGTGGGATTGGGAATGGGAGGCACGCCCTGTGGGGCAGAGCATTCCCACGTGGAGTGGTACACCGTCGGTACGGATCCACAGAAGGGGCAGTAGGAGGGGTAGAGAGTCGGATGAAAGCGATTTAGCATATAAAGGCAAGGAAATGAATTGGTCTGTAGTTGCCGCCAAGCGACAGCATCTGCTCTGTTAAGTGAAGGATGAGGGGGAGGATACGTATAACGGCTCTGTCGATAGTACTGCAGCGTAGCGTTGTAGTTTAGTGGTTCTGTCGATGCGTCGACTGGATTGGACAGCTCTTCCAATGGAGCCCGGCCAGTCAGCTCTCGGGCAACCGCATGAACGCGTTCATTACCATGGAGAGAGGCGTGTCCAGGAGTCCAGACGATACGCACAGGACGTAATGCGGACGGTGAGACAGAAGAGAGGATATTGTGTGTATGTGCAGCCACAAGTCCTTGAGCGAAAGCATGGCAAGCAGCTTGTGAATCTGTTACAATAGTGACAGGGTAGTCATGTGACAGTGTCGTAGCGTAAACAATTGCCAGAGCGAGAGCTCCCTCCTCTGCCAGACCATTGTCTGTAGTGCGAAGTGTGGCAGACGCCACAAGGGCGTCTGTGTCATCTGTCACGGCTAAACACATGGCTGACTTCTCTGGGTAGCGTGCTGCATCAGTGTAAAGTACTTGTAAGCCTGATGTACCATCACCAAAGACGCGTGTCATAGCCTGAACTCGGGCACGTCGACGACCGGCGTGGCGGGAGGAAATCATGTTGCGTGGAATCGGAGGCACTTTGATGAGTGCGCGGACAGTAGAAGCAAGTTTATATCGCGGTACTTGTGCGGGTTTTTGAGGAATCGGGTAGCCAAGACGAGACAGGATGGCGCAGCCCTGACGGGTCTGCCTGAGCCGTTGGAGCTGACTATTGTGCTGGGCCTCGATGAGTTCGGTTATGGTGTTGTGGACTCCTAATTGAAGGAGGCGTTGTGTAGATGCGTGTGGAGGCAAGCCGATAGCCGCCTTCACAGCTGTCCGTAGAAGGATGTACATCTTTTTTATTTGAGCTAGAGTGAGATTGTGAAAGGGAAGAGGATAGGTGAGCCGACTAACTATGAGTGCTTGTACTAAGCGAAGGACATTCTTCTCACAGAGGCCTCTCCTGCGATTGGTGATGCGTTGGATCATGTGTGTAATTTGAGTTATCTGCTGAGCCAGAAGGTGTGTAGTGTACGAGGCCTTGCCGTCTGACTGAAGGTAGAGGCCTAAAATGCGAATTCGTGGTACCAGAGGGATAGGATGGCCATCAAGAAACAGCGAAATGTCAGGAGAATCAGCGGTTTTGCGGCGCCGCTTGTATACTAA